CTCATCCATTTCTTCTTCTCCTCCTCCTCCTCCTTCTGCACTTCCCTACTGGCAATGAACCTCTGTAATGGGCCATGAAGAGGGAGCTTGGAAGGAGGGGTTGCTTCCAACATCGTTGATGAATCTTGGGTTTACGGTGGTCACCCTCCTCCCTCTCCTCCTCCTCCTCCTTCTTGAGATAATTTCTCCTCCGTCCGATTCCTTGTCTGTATGAATAACTTCTCCCCGTCGCACCCCGCTGGCAGTCGAAGGGCGGGCCGGGCGTTTTGCCTGAGACCAGCTTAGGGACCTCAAGGTTTTCGAAATGGCAACCGTTTCACAGATGGAGGGCGGGTCGCTTCCAAAATGTGGTTTTCGCTTGAGCGCCGCGCACATTCGTTTCACAAGTTTGTAGAAAGGTTTCGCGGATTGAAGGCGGGTCGTTTTCAAAATGTGGCTCTCCACTTAGCGCCGCGCATATTCGTTTTTCAATATGTGTAAGAGCTTCACGGATTGAGCGCGATCCGTTTTCAGAATTGTGCTCTCGCCTTTGCGCCGCGCACATTCGCTTTGAAAAGCTTGCAAGAGCTTCACGGATTGGAATCGACTCCTTTCCAAAATGTTGCTCTCGCCCTAGCGGCCCTAGCGCCGCGCACATTCGCCCCGCAAATACAAACTTTTCACACATTGCCATGGTTAGCGTATCAGAAACGGTGCTTGGGGACGGTTCAGGGTTGCCAGGGCGCAGCAGTTGCGTTGATTTGCTGTGTTAAGATCCCCGAAATGGTGCCCTGGCTCGTTTCAGGATTGTCAAGGCGCAACAGTCAGGTTGACTTGTGGCGTTGAAATCCCGAGAGGGGTGTTTTGTACGCTTCAGGACTACACACAGTTGTCCCCGAACGGGGCTCTTCCCTCAATGGGACTTAATTCTTTTAGGGGCCCGTGAAGAAGGAGCTTGGAGGGAGGGCGTATTCCAACATCGTTGAGAAGTCTTGGATTTGCACTGGTCCTCCTCCTCCTCCTCCTATTTCTCCTCCTCCTCCTCCTCCTACTCCTCCTCCTGCTCCTCCTCTTCCTCCCTCTCCTCGTCCTCGCGCCAATCCGCTGACACCCTCCCCCAGGCTGTCCCGCGTCCTGCAACACAAATGTCGACGGGAAGTTTGTTGTTAGTTGCGGCGGGTCCTGGGACCGTCAGAGAAGGGTTCGGGATGAAAAATCTGCCCGAGGAAGGCGTCGAAACCTCTGGGGGTCAAGGTTTAATAAAGATCTACGTCGAATGCCTGGGTTCGGCCTCTCCTGCTCCTCCTGCTCCTCCTGCTCGTCCTGCCTCCTCCTCCTCCTCCTCCTCCCTCTCTTCCCCTCCCATCCTTGTTTTCCTCTCCTCACTCCATGTGCCCCCCCTCCCTCAGGGAAGGGGGGGGGGTGAGGAAGAGGAGGAGGGGGAGGAGGAGGAGGAGGAGGAGGATGAGGCAGACAAGGAGGAGGAGGAGGAGGAGGAGGAGGACTGAGGAAGAGGAGGAGGCGGATGAGGAAGGAAGGGGGAGGAGGAGGAGGAGGAGGAGGAGCAGGAGGAGGAAAGGAAGAGGAGGATGAAGAAGAGGGTGGGGAGGAGGAAGAGGAGGAAGAGGAGGAGGAGGAGGAGGAGGAGGAGGAGGAGGAGGATGGGGAGGAGGGGGAAGGAACGGGAGGAAGGTGGTGAAGGGGGTGGCATCACCCTCTTCCTCCTTCTCCTCCTCCCGCTGATGTTCATGATCTGTCGCCCTCCTCCCCAGGACTCCTCCTCTTCCCCCTCCTTCACCACAACCATCGTCATTACCACCAACACGGCCACCGTCATCATCACCATCATCATCAGCAGCATCATTACCAGCATCAACATTAACACCACCATCATCACCATCAGCATCAGCATCATCATCCGTATCGTCATTGTCAGCAGCATCTTCATCACCACTACCATCATCGTCAACATCAGCAGCAGCAGTAACAGCCGCATCATCAGCACCATCATCAACTTCATCAACATCATCACCAACACCACCAATCATCATAAGCAGCAACATCAGCATCAACATCACCAAGCAGCTCCATCCTCACCAGGATCGTCGCCATCGTCAGCATCAGCAGCAACATCGCCAACGTCACCATCGCCAGCCTCATCGTATTCTTCGCCCGTGATATCATCGTCACCGTTTACATCGCCATCAAACTCGCAATCGGATCCGCCATCGTCGACAATAAGACCGTCATCATCGTCATCATCCTCATAATCACCAGCATCAGCACAACATGACTCGTCCTCACGATACGCATAATCATCATCATCATCATCATCATCATCATCATCATCATCATCATCATCATCATCACCATCACCATGACCTTCATCATTCGCAGCATCGCCACCACCATCGTCATCAAGATCATCATCATGATCATCATCCTCATGATCATCGTCATCATGAACACCATCACCCCCACCATCACCATCACCATCGCCATCGCCATCACCACCATCGCCGTCATCATCATCAGCGCCATCATCATCACCACCATCACAATCTCCAGCAGCACCAGCACCAGCATCAGCATCACCATCATCATGAGCAGTATCATCATCACCACCACCAGCATCATCGTCATCACCATCAGCAGCATCATCTTCACTACCATCATCACCACCGCCGTCCTCACCAACATCGTCGTCGTCATCGTCGGGTCGTCGTGGACATAATCATCGCCGTCGCCACCATTGTCATCGTCAGAATCGTCACCACCAATATCGCGAACGTCTCCAGCATCAACACCACGTCATCAACGCCATTACCAAACCGCCGACCCCGCTTGCCCGTGGTGAAATTGTGTGTGAGACATTTGGCTGTCCCCCTCCCCATTTCCCCCTCCCCAGGTGTCTCACATCGGATTGAAAAGGGAGGGGGGGCCGGGGGATGGCACAGGGGGGGGGTAGACGAGCTCCTCAACGCACGCCCCCAGGCTTCTGGAGCTTCCAAAGAGCCTCAAGATGGACCAAGAAAGCCCAAACAGAGCGCCCACACAGCCCAAGGGAACATCACAACGGCTCAGGGTCGCCCCAAGACGGTCCAAGATGGCTTCGAGACGGCCCGCGCGCATTTAAGACGGCCCAAGGATGCTCCCAGATAACTCCAGGACCGCCGAGACGGCTCCAAGAGTCAAACATCGCTTCATCTTCCTTAGAAAACGTACATGTATTGCATATTCACCTGTTTCGCATGGACAACGTCCAAGACGGCCCAAGGGCCCCCAAATATCGTCCCAACCGGGCCCATGAGGCCTCCAAGGGGGGCCCAAGACGGATCTAGAGGGCGCCAAGGCCCCGCAGGTGCTCCCCAGACGGCACAAGAGAACTCCAAGAGGGCCCTAAGAGGGGCCCAAGAAGGGAGATACTAACTGATATCTCGAGCCTCACAAGACGCCCCAAGAGGTTCCCAAGGGGTCCCCCAAAAGCCCCCAGGAGGCCCCCAAGAAGGGTTCAAAGGCCCCCCACATGCCACCATGAGCCCTCCAAGAGGCCCGTGAGAGGCATCCCACGAGCCCCTCAAATGCATCCAAGAAGCTCCCGACCGACTAGATAACTTCCAAGATCGTCGCAAGCACTCGCTCCTTTGGGGGTGTCGGAGAAATGGCGTAAGCCACTTGAATACAGTATCAATAACACGGGCATCGTCACCGTCATCATCATCATCGTGTGAGCAATGAAAAAAGCATCCCCCTCCCACTCATTGTCCACTTCCTGGAGGGGAAGGCGTTTCCTCTTCCTCCTCCTCCTCCTTCCTTCCTTCCTTCCTTCCGACCGCTTGACGCGCGCCCATGGTCGGGCGGCGCGCCCGGCCGAATCGCCCGGCGCGGGCACTTACATGTCCCGCAGGTGGGCCTCCTTGCGCCCAGCCCGCGGCAGCCCCTCCCCTCCTCCTCCTCCTCCTCCTCCTCCTCCTCCTCACTCCTCCTCCTCCTCCTCCTTCTCCTCCTCCTCCTCTCCTCCTCTCCTACCGCTATCTCCTCCTCCCCGCTATCTCCTCCTCCTCCCTCTCCTCCTCCCCGCTCCCTCCTCCTCCTCCTCCTCCTCCTCCCCCCTCCCTCCTCCTCCTCGTCCTCCTCCTCCTCCTCCTTCTCTTCCTCCTCCTCCATCCTTTCCTCCTGCTCCAACTTTGGGGTCGCATCGGAGCGCTCGGGGGCTCAACCCCCGAAGCCCCGAGAGGCCGAGGCCTTGAGCCGTGGTGCCGCGGGTCCCTCGGCGGGGGGCCTACGCAGCCCCGCGCGGCCCGGGCGTGCTCCTCGGGCCCTGCGCGGCGCGCGGGGCGCGCGCGGGGCGCAGCGGTCTTGGGCCACTGCAGGCCCTCAGCCCTCGGCCTCCTGCTTCCCCCTCCCTCCCACCCCCCCTCCCTCTGTCGACTCGTCCTCCCCTCCTAGTGAGAATAGTAGGCCCCTGGTACGACTTCAGACATCTCTTGAGGCTTCCTGCGTCGCCACCGCCGGATAGGGCAGAGTGCCCTAGCTGCTACTTTTTATAGCCACGGAATCGTAAACATACTGTGGCTCAAGGCGAGAAAAGCCCGCTTTGGTAGCGGAGCTATCAAGCTCCGCGGGCCACCCTCCGGTCGGCCGGCCCTCCGCGCGGCCAGCGCCGCGCGTGCCCGCGCCTCCGCAGGCAGAGACGACTACTGCAAGTACTAGTGCGCGCTGGACGACCAGTGCGCGAAGTCCCGCGTGTACGCGGGGTACCACGACGACGACTTCCTCCAAGAGTGCAACGAGTACCGCGGGCACGCGAAGTACCACCAGCACATCGAGGAGGCACAGGCGGTCACGCCTGATCTACGGCACTGTTTTCTACTACTTGTACTTTGTTTTTTGTGGCGCCGACATGGCGCACCACCAGCAGCAAGGCGGCGACAGACAGCAAGGCACGCTTCAGCTTGAGGAGTTCACGAAGTTCGTTCCACCGGGCTGGCGCCCGCACATCAGAGGTTACACGTTCCGACGATATATGCAGAAGCTAAAGCTGTGGTGGAGGATCACCGAGGAGAATCAATATGAACGGATCGGCCCGCTCATAGTCTCACGATTTCAGGGCGCTCCCTTCACCGCAGCGATGTCGTTCACTCATGTACGAGATGGAGTTCAGTATCGAGGAGATGAAGCCATAGCACTGCCAGCACAGCTGGCCGACCCTCCTCATCAGCAGGAAGATCACCCCGGCATCAAGCACTTCTTGAATCAGCAGAAAGCGATATATGAACTACACGATCAAGACAGAGTTGGTATTGTATTGGACTCATTCTTTGATTGCCGGAGAGGACACCATCAAGACATACCGACGTGGATCTCATCGTTCGAGCTGGCATTCGAGGATGCATGCGAGGAAGGCGGCCTGGTCATGAACGACACGGGCCGCAGCCACTTCCTACTGAAGAATAGTGGACTATCCGATAAGAGGCTCGACGATTTGAAGTTACACGTGGCAGGTGATTTATCCCAATATCGAGTATTGCAGGGCCTGATGATGAGGCTCGGCAAACAGGACCAGGTTGGTCAACACAACGAATGGGCCTGGTATGGTGAACAGGGAGACGGAGCCGATCCAGACGACATGATGGAGACCTGGTATGAGGCCTACAATGACGAGCAATACGAATGGGGCTATGACCAGGATTTCGGCTGGACGGCTACGGCAGATGGTGAATGGTATTTCCAGGAATACGACGACATCTGGGCCAAGTACGATGACAGCGGCGAGATGACGGAGTACTACGAGGCAGAGCAAGACGACAACGACACCTACTACGGTGGCAAAGGATGTGGCAAAGGCAAGCGTGGCAAGAGCAAAGGCAAAGGTCGAGGACGAGGTGGATTTAGACGGCGCTTTCCCATGAAAGGCAAAGGACGTGGCAAAGGCAAAGGTCACAGCGGCAACGGCAACGATCGCATGAGCGGTGCAGGTCAGCGACACGACGGATGTGATATATGTGGAAGTAAATGGCATGATCGAGCGCACTGCCCCGCCAAGGATCGACAACAACAGCAGCAGCCGCAGCAGCAGCAGCAGGGCTCGACCTCGACGAAAGGCAAAGGTAAAGGCGGACGCAGTCGTCACTATGCAAACGTTGTGGGTCTCTCTACTTCGGACCCGACTGCAGCACAAGCATCCGCAGGATCGAGTTCGGCGACACCACAGATGACGACAAGGCCGCCTGGCTCTTGGATCAACGTTGCTACTCCGACTACCTCGACGGCAAGCACAATACCTGTGGAGCGATATCACATGGCTACCGGTTCCGAGTGTGCAGTACCAGAAGGCGACTCGTATCAGATCGACGCGGACGAGTCCTCTGACTGGTACACGCAGGCACCAACACCAGAACGGCAGCGACCGGTTCGACCACCCATACTGGGTTCAGCCTCTCCCTTTCCAGACGATCGAGTCAGCCGAACGCCTCTGAGATCGGTGCTTCGTGACACGACGGCATCATCATCGGCAAGCGAGGCTCCAGCTTTGACGCTGGCCCAGAAGTTATCTAAGCAGTACGCTCTGGTGGTCATGAAGAACCAGGTGAGCATCACAAGTGGCACTGACAGGAATGACCAGAGGAACTCTTCAAATGACAATGCCACGATGAACGAATCTACTCAATCATCTAGGATATCTGGATGTCAGCAGACATTGCCTGCAAAAGCAGATCAATCACTTCAATTGCTTGGTTGTCCGCAGAGGCCGACATATGATGATTAGCGACACAGTTCATTCTTGGAAGGTAAGAACGGCAACGATGACCCCTACGCGATACTGCATACAGTGAAAGGCAAGCCTCGACATGGATTGATCGTCGACCCAGGAGCAGCTGAAGGCCTACTTGGCACGGAGACGTTGTTGGAGTGGAACATGGACCTGTATCAGCCTGAAGGCATCTCCTACAACATCCGGCCTTCTCAGGCGACCTTCACGGGCATCAACGGTCAAGCAGACCCCTCATGTGGCGAGTTTCTCGGACCGATGTGGGTCGAAGGCATGGCGAAGGGCACCACCTACCAGGCGGACATGATAGGCGGTCCTGGCGCAAGGTGCCCGGGCCTCCTGCCCAACAGCACCATGATCAAGCAAAAGTGCATCCTGTTCGAGAACATGTATCGCAATGGTGATGGCATCCTGGCGTTCGTACCTGACGATAAAGTCTCTACGATGGCTCGAGTATTGCTGACAGATTCTGGGCACTATCTTCTACCGATTGACGTGTTCAAGCCTCAGTCAGAGCAAGTGGTAGAGGAGATGGTCGGCCTGATCGAGGAAAGGATATCTAAGCTGTTCGCAGCATTTGATCATCGCCGGAAGCCCAAGGTTCAGCTACACACGGCCAGTCAACCACAATGCCCCGAAGCGCAGAATCAGAGTGAGATAAGTAAGCTGGCAGCACCTTCGACGACACCGCCATCGAGACAGACATATGGATCTTATCAGAACAAGGACGCCACAGAATTCTATGATGTTTGGAGACAGTTCGGCAGCAACAGATACTCTCAAAATGAATGGCCAAGTAACTTCGAACATGCAGATTGTCATCGAATGGATCGAGAGTACGAGTTCATGGACGAGAAGTTTTATACGACATCTCGGTTACCGATGATTCGACCAGAACACGTTCGAGACTTCATTCAGCATATGCGTTCAGTAGCTCACAAGACGAGTCTGATGGTGGAAGTCTTTTCAGGTACCTCTGGAGTCTCTTGTGCAGCCTATCGGAATCACCTGATAACTTTACCACCTATCGACTATCGCTATGGCTGGGATCTACATCGACCAGATCATCAGCAGCTGCTACTTGAACTACACGAAGCTTTTGTGCCATTATTTTCGCTAATGGAGTTCTACTGTCGACCCTGGTCTCAATCAAATAACAACGCGGAGCCTGTTGAGTTGGAAAGCAGGCGAGACTACGAACGACCGATACTGACATGGACAGCTCAGACATATGCGCCCGCACTGGAGCGCAGAGGAAGTCAACTTATCATGGAGAACCCATCTCGATCAGCTATCTGGAAGCAGTCTGATCTTCGTTTGATCCCAGACATCCTGATGCGCGAGATGCATGACAACATTACTGACCAGTGCGCGCATGGAGCTTGGAGTGTGGATCTGGAGTTGCCGATTCGCAAGAGGACCTTCTTCCGAAGTACGACGCGGCTGCGAAGCACATCCAGATCCTGCAAATGCACAACACCACACGCAGAGCTGCAAGGCACCGACGACAAAGGTCGCAAGCGAACGGCTCTTGCAGCAGTTTATCCAGTTGGACTGTGCCGATCATTGGTCAAGGACATGGTCAAGCACATGCACTCCTGCCGGACACAGGCTTACTGGAAATGCAAACGTTGTCAGCATGGTGCAGGTTCTGGGGTACCACACACACGAGAGGATGGTTGCAGATTCAAGCCGGTTCCTGGACCAGGAGCAGCTCCCGCTGCAGCAGCACCTCAGGCAGCAGCAGCACAGGTTGTAGAGCCAGCACCTCCTCCAGCAGCACGGCCAGAAACCACTAGAGACGGCGGGCAGCTGGAGTGTTTGGCAGCACGGCCAAAGAGCCCGCTGGGTCAGCACGGCCAGGGACCCAACACGACAAGAGCACAACAGCACCACAAGAGCACAATAGCACCCCCAGCGGCAAGAGCAGCTCCAGCAGACGAGCAAGCACCAGCACCAGCACCAGCAGCAGCAGCAGCAGAACCACCAGCAGCAGATCCTATTCCACCGCCTCCAATACCAGTGGCATCACGACCGACGACAACGGCATCAAAGGTCACGATCATCAAACCTTCCTTCGACCTGGGCAAGTTAGCTCAGAAGTTGACCCAGGCTGCCTCGGACGAAGAACGCATCAAGCTGCTCATGGGCCTTCACTACAAGTTCTTTCACCCTCCAGACTTTGAGATCGAGAGGATGATTCGAGCTCTTGGACTACCTGCACCTATTCGAGAGCTATGCAAAGGTCTGGCCGAGCACTGCGAAACCTGCTTGCAGCGACAGCGAGCTATGAACAAGCCGAGTATCAAGATGACCATCGCAGTTCGTTTCAATGAGCGCGTCCAAGCAGATCTGTTCTTCGTATTCGAGAAGACTTGGTTGATGATGATCGACGAATGCATCAGGTACCGCATCGCATGCCATTTAGCTACCAAGCAGGGCAAGGACGTTCTACGGGCAATGCTTGGTCACTGGATTCGGTATTTCGGACCGATGGACAACTTGGTAATGGATCAAGAAGGCGGTATGACGAATGACAACGTGGCGCTGGTGGCAGACAGATACAATCTACGGCTGATATTCGGTGGAGCTGACGGACACACCACCACAGGCCTGGCAGAGCGAGCGATTCAGACCTTGAAGCTGACTGCTCTCAAGACGAAGCGCGACGTGATCAAGCAAGGCCTGACCGACATCAGCGACGAGGACATAGTGGAGGAATCAGCGATGGTGGCAAATCTCTTTATGAATTACGGCGGCTCGGTTCCAGCTCAAGGGTTGTTCGGATACATGCCTAAGGACGCCTACGATCCGGAAGCAGGAACTCTGACGGCTACGCAGAGTGCGATGGATCTCACGCCGGACCCGACCGAGCAGCACTTGCGCCTCAGGCTCTTGGCAAAGTCTAACATCCTGCAGGCCATCATCGAGGAAAGGATCGCCAAGGCCAACAATACACGTCAGCAAGCTCAGGACGCCAAGTGGATCGAGACGCTCAAACCACATGATCAAATAGATATTTGGCGTACACCAGCCAGGAAAGATCAAGATGGCTGGCGAGGTCCAGCGGAGTTCATCAGCCTTGACAAGGACAAGGCGGCGGCCATCGTGATTCATCAGAATCAGCCATACAAGATACCGACAAGGCACATGCGAGCACGACGAATGAGCTTCTACGTCCTGGGCACATCCTGGGACAAATATCAAGTGTACCTCGGCAGCGGCAGCACGATGAAGCTCACGGAGTTATTCGAGATCATTGAAGGCACACCACCAGGTATCGTGTATCGCATGGGTATCTTCAACGAGCAACCGACACCACCGGAACTACTGCAGACACCTCCTCCGACATGGTTGCTGGCACAGAGTGTGGGTATGACCATCTTTCGGATGACGAGCGTGGACGGCATCATCTACGGTCAAGGACAACGACAGCTAAAGGGTCTGAGTGAATTCACACATGGAGTGATCGTGGCCTGGCGAGATCAACACCGAGAAGACTACTACAGCAGCGACATCGATCCGAGTCAACCGATCAACATGGTGAAGTTCGTAGGCGCCGACTGGGACAAGTACCATTTTCTATTATTGGTATCAAAGCATCGGTATGGTGACGACATCCCGGGCACCTACCAGCATCCTGATCTAAGTGATATACCGTTTCTTGACGACGATCCGTATGATCCACCCAGCATCTTGCAGCACACAATGCCCATCGAGGTGGATGATCAGACGATGCCTCCTGCCTCTCCGATCACACCAGCATCGCCAGTGACACCTGCAGAAGCACCACGACTTACTCAGACACCAGCGCAGCCAGTATTTCCATCACCCGCAGAGCAACATCAGGAACTGGCAGCACCTGAACAAGCGGTTCCGCCGATCCTGGAAAAGCTACGCGGTGTGATTCAGACGATCGCAAAGCAGAAGACCACTGCAGCAGCAGCGGCAGCTCGGACTCAGATGACACAGAGACGCGACGATGACGGAGATGGAGTGTTTCAGCCTTCAGCAGGAGCAGCATCGATTTCACCGGCAGGGTTCAATGACGGACTCGAGCAAGATCTTAGCCAGCTGATTGATGATGAGAATCTGGAACGGGAGATGAGCAAGCTGATGGAGATACATGAGGAAGTTGAAGCTCTTGAACGCAGTATTCATGCAGGCAGCGCTCAACAACTTCCAGCAGAAGCAGGAGCACGACACCCAGCATCAGCAGCTCCACGATCACGATCACACTCACCGAGACGACCAGATTCCGGGACCGCATCAACATCAAGACAACTGGTGCCAGTCGCTGAACAGAATGACGACACCACGACCAGGACTCGGCATGACCCGAGAGCACGACAGGAGACCGATTTGGACGACAGTATCATCGACCTTGGACATCAGCGGAAACAAGCGCGACCAACTACTGAACCACCTCAAGATGGACCAGCACCTGGAGATGATCCTCATCATGATCGAGGATTTCAACCAGTTCAAGATGGACAAGCAGTCTCGGCTCAAACAGGTAGCCATGGCGAGGAGAACACGATGAATGTCAATGACTCTGGCATCCTTGCCGACGCGCTTGGTGAGTTGATGGAGGTTCCCGAGATTGAGGTGACGAGCGATCACGAGGACGAACCAATACCGTTGCAGGACGCAGACGCACTGTACACGTGGTATGCAGGCCACACATCAGATAGATCAGTCATCACACATACGGAGGAGTTGGTGAAGCTATATGAGATCAGTCACTTTCCTGATAAGCTCTATCCAAGCCCTCCGGACATCACTACACATCATCATGCTGCAACGTCTCCATGGACTAGCACAGATTCCTGCTGTATCTTCAAGGGCTTGGAGAGTCAAGGTCCCTCGCGATGTTTCTACCTGGACTTGATGGATCACGAGATGGTGGAGATATATGCGTCCCAAGCCGAGCAGTTGATACAGGAATCCGAGTTCGAGAGTCTCTGGCCCCAGATAGAAGAATCCGACCACAATGAGATCAAGAACTACGTCAAGCACGACTGCTTCAGGCCCAAGTTGAAGACCGAGTGCAACAACGCCAACTTCATCGACGCTACTTGGGTCCGACGATGGATGTGGAAGGAGAAATGGGTCGTGCGCTGCAGACTCTGTGGACGAGGTTTCTTAGACAATCAGAAATGGGCTGTGGACAGACACTCTTCGACGGCAGCAAGAGTATCGCAAAGAATGATGGTATCAATAAGTCAATGTGAACCAGGCTTTGTGACAGAAAGCTGGGACATTTCATCAGCCTTCATGCAGGGCTTGAGGTTCAGTGAACTATCCGAACGATCTCGTGAGCTTGGACTAGATGTACGAGAGAAGCGCGAGGTCTACATAGCTCCCCCAGCGAACGTATGGCGCCACCTCAGGCAGCTGTCGGAGATGTTCGCCAAGATTCCAGATGATCAACAACATCTATATGTACTTGAATGTGTGAAACCAGTCCCTGGACTCATTGATGCTCCACTGCTATGGCAGGCAGCGCTGACGCTACACATCAAGGACAAGATGGCGGGCAAGCGAGCACTACTGGACGAGAACTGCTTTGTGTGGCACGACGACAAGACGGAGGAGCTCACGCTAGCGACTACAGTACATGTGGATGATCTCTTCCCAACAGGCAGGCAGTCATGGCTGAATTGGGCACATGATTTACTGGAGAAGAAGTTCGGCAAGATCACGAGGAAGACCATGCCCTTCACTCATCTTGGCATCGAATATCATCGACTACCAGATGGCACTATCTTTCTGAGTCAGGACGCCTACCTGGACACGATAGAAGCACCACAGTTGGACAAGGAACGAAGTAAGGATGACGGCTCACCATGTACGGCCAGTGAGCATCATCAATATAGATCGCTATGCTGTCAACTACTTCATCTTCTTCAAACACGTTGGGATCTGAGCGCGGCCACGACACAGATGCAGACGAAGCAGACGGCCCCAACAATTGGAGACTTCAAGCAGTTGAAGAGTGTACTAGAGAGAGCTAAGAAGAATCGAGAACGAGCAGGTCTGTACTATCGCAAGATGAATGGACCATTCCGCTTGGTAAGTATCAATGATGCAGCTCATGCCACCAAGACGACGTCGTATGCACATGAAGCTCAGGGGCTCTTCTTGATGGAAGATCGTGAAGTTGAGTTCAATCGTCATGGCATTGTATCAAAGACCTCATACGACAATGTCTTTGGTGCAGCTCATCCACTGATAGGTCAGAGCAGGAAATCCAAGCGAGTATCATATTCGACAAGTCATGCAGAGACGGTGGCAGCAGTCGGGGGTTCACAAGCAGCACAGTTCACGGCACTGAGGTTCACCGAGTTGATTGCCAGACCGACATTAGAGAAGACTGCCGGAGGTGCCCTCAAGAATCTAATGCTAATGCAGGATGAAGGGCACTCGATCATCCCGATCGACATCGTCACCGACTGCTACGACCTCTACCAGCTCGTGACGGGCATGAAAGGAATTCCAGTTGACAAGACACAGCGTCTCAGCATCCTCAGTCTCAGAGAGGACAGACTATCTGGACGACTGCGGAGATTCTACCACTGGCCGACCGAAGTCATGGTCATGGACAGCCTCACAAAGCCAGGGCAGTTTCCGCAGATGCAGGATTATTTATTATCAGGAGAGATACGACATCGAGGACTACTCAAAATGAAGAACGGCATCGAGAACGTGATTACTGTCAAGGAGATCGCCTCCAGGAGCGAGTTCACGGAGAGCGACCTGGTGAACATCCAGGCCTAGAGGGGGCCGGGCCGATCAGTCGTAGAAGCACAGAATCAGAGTGAGAATAGTAGGCCCCTGGTACGACTTCAGACATCTCTTGAGGCTTCCTACGTCGCCACCGCCGGATAGGGCAGAGTGCCCTAGCTGCTACTTTTTATAGCCACGGAATCGTAAACATACTGTGGCTCAAGGCGAGAAAAGCCCGCTCCGCGCTCCTCCTCCTCCTCCTTTTCCTCCTCCGCGCTCCTCCTCCTGCTCCTCCTCCTCCTCCTCCAAGGAGGATGAGGAGGAGGCGGGAAAGGGGGGCGAAAAGGAGGGACAAGAGGAGGAAAAGGGGGAGAAGGAGGAGGAGGAGGAGGAGGAGGAGGAGGGATGGTGAAGACACGAGAGGAGCAGGACAAACAAGGGGATGGAGGAGAAGGAATATAAGGAGAAGGGGGAGGCGGAGGAGAGGGATAAAGGAGGACCAGGAAAATTAAGAAGAGGACCGGGAGAAGGAACAGTATGAGGAGGGGACGGAGGAACAAAAAGGGAGAGCGGGTTCGTGTTCTCTCCCTCTCTCCTCCTCCCTTTCCCCTCCTTCTGTGACCCGGCCAGGACGTCGAGCACAAGACCGCGAAGAGGCAAGACCAGAAGCAGGTCGGACGGGGCTCCTCCTCGTCCTCTTCCTCTTCCTCATCATCCTCCTCCTCTTCCTCGTCCTCCTCCACCCCTTCCTCCTCCTCCATCCTCCTCCTCCTCCTCCTCCACCTCCTCCTCCTCCTCCTTCTCCCTCCTCCTCCTCCACCCCGCTCTCCTCTCCCTCCACCTCCTCCTCCTCCTCCTCCTCACTCGCGCCTCCTCCTCCTGCTCCTCCTCCTCCTCCCCTCCTCCTCATCCTCCTCCTCCTCCTCCCCCTTTTCCTCCTCTCTTTTTTTTTCCTCCACCTTCTTCCCCTCCTTTCTCCTCGTCTCCTCCTCCTTTTCCTCTTGTCCGCCAGCTCCTCCTCCTTCTCCTCCTCCTCCTCCTTCCACTCCCTCCCTCCCCCCTCCTTCCTCCTCCCTCCCTCCTTCCCTCCCTCCCTCCCCCCTCGCCACCCTCCCTCCCTCCTCCGTCCTCTCTCTCCCTCGTTTCCTCCTCTCTTCCCCTCCTCCTCGTTCCTCTCTCCCCTTCCTCCTCTCCTACCTCCCGGGCCCCTCCTCCCTCCCCTCCTCCCTCCTCCCCCCTCCTCCTCATCCCTCATCCCTCTTCCTTCTCCCTCCTCACTCGTTCCTCCCTCCTCCCTCCTCTTCCTTTTCCTCCTCCTCCTCCTCCTCCTCCTCCTACCCCTTAGAGGCGATAGGATGCCCAGGGTCGCGGGCGCGGCCTTCAGTTGGGGCCCGTTCTTCGTTTCGCCTCGGTTTAGCTTCATTCGCTCCGCCTTGCTACTGCCAATTCTCTCCGGCAGCATGTGCCGGGGCGGGGCAGAGCCACCCCAAGCCTCATCTTCTTGCCACGCCGACCTCAAAGGCCTAATCCGGCAGGCGCCCGCGCGAATGGCGTTAGCCAGGATTGCTGCACGACTGGCGCTAACCAGGACCAAGGTCCTTCAGCGGGGGACGGGGTGCTAAGCATAATTAAGCACTGCAGGACTGGCTCCTCGTCCTCCCTCCGTCTGCTCCCCCCGTCCTTGCTTGGCCCGTTCCTCCGCCCAAGCCCCAGCTGGCCTTCTCCACTGCCTCTTCACTCCCCCTCTCTAGGCGCTTGGGAATTCTGCCAGGACTGCGGGCTAAGGCTATGCACAGCATACCCAACTAGCTCGCGGTCCTTTCGGCCAGCCCGACTCAACATTCACAGCAGGATTCCTGGCACCCGCAGAGCCGCACGCGTTGAGGCTAGGGCCGGCATCACTGGAACTCACTTTTCTTGTTCGTCTCCAGGTGGGGACCTCGCCCGGGTCGTCTTCAGTTGAGGCTGCATCTGCGCGCTCGCAGACGAGGAGGTTCGCAGGCGCGGGCTCCAGCACAGCACGCACACCAGGCGAATGATCCCACTACGTGGGATAAAAGCCTCGGCAGCATGCGGCAGTATTCGTGAGGTAGGCCCCAGCAATGTAAATCGTATGTTGTTCCATCCAGTGCGTTGCATCGTGGGTTGCTAGCCAGGCTTCGCCGTCGTTGGCAACCGACAACAACAGGCAGCGAATTGGGGTTTCCCCAGGTAGCGGGCGCACCCCCTTGACAATCCCCAGTTGGCTCAGGGACTGTCCAAAGGCGGCCCGCTCGCTGTCCTGGCAGCTTGGTCAGTGACCCTCCTCCTCCTCCTCCACCTTCTACTCCTCCCTCTCCTCCTTATCCTCTTCTCTACCCTCCTCCTCATCATCATCATCCTCAGCATCCCCATCATCCTCATCATCAACATCATCATTGTCTTCCTCCTCCACCTCCTCCTCATACTCCTTCTCCTCCTCCTCCTCTTCTCCTTCTTCTCCTCCTCCTCCTCCGTCCTCCTCCTCCTCCTCTTCCTCCTCCCCCTCCTCCTCCTCCTCCTCTTCCCCCTCCTCCTCCTCCTCCGTCCGCCTCCTCCTCCTCCGCTTCTTCTTCTTCCTCCACTCCTCCTCCTCCTCCTCCTCTCCTCTCCTATTCCTCTTCCTCCTCTTCCATCTCCTCCTCCTCCTTTTCCTTTCCGTCCCTCCCTCCTCCCTCCTCTCCTCCCTCCTCCTCCTTCCTCCCCCCATACCCCCCTCCCCCCTCCTACTCCTCCACCTCCGCCTCCCTCCTCCTCCTCCTCCTCCTCCTCCATCCTGCCTCCTCCCTCCTGCCTCCCTCCTCGCGGTCCTCCTTCCTCTTCGTTCCTCCGTCCCCGTCCATCCCTCATGGTTCCTCATTCCTCGCTCCTCGCACCTACCTTCTCCCCCCTCGTTCCTCCATCCTCCCTCATTGCCTTCTTCCCTCCTCGGGCCCAAGTCCTGCGGTGCCAGGACGAGGATCAATCCGTCCCACTGCGCCCCAAAACGCTCTCAAAGCTTCCCGGAACGCTCCGAGAAAGCCGCGGCGCCCGAGACCTCCGGAGCCGCTGGATCTCAGGGACTCTTGATGTATCCCCAATGGATTATTCATCCCCGTCCTCTTCCTTTCTTCTTCCTCCTCCTCTCCCTCCCCCTCCTCCTCCTCCTCCTCGGAGCGTTCTGGGAGGATCTGAGAGCGTTCTGGAGCGATCTGGAACGCATGTATCCTCGTCCTGGCACCGCTCGACCTGGGCCCTAGGAGGGAAGAAGGAAGGGAGGGAGAAGGGAAGAGGGAGGAGGGAGGAGCGAGGAGGGAGATACGAGGAGGGAGGAGGGAGGAGGTAGAAACAGGAGGAGGAGGAGGAAGGAGGAGGGAGGAGGAAGAAGGAAGGGGAGGAGGAGGAGGAGGAGGACGAGGAGGAGGAGGAGGAGGAGGAGACGATGAAGAGGAGGAGGAGGAGGAGGAGGAGGAGGAGGGAGGGAGGAGAAGAGGATGGAGGATGGAGGATGGGGGAAGGAGGGGGAGGAGAGGAGAGGAGAGGAGAGGAGGAAAAGAGAGCCAGCGCTCACCGAGAAGCACTCCGACCTGCACGGACGCAGAAGGACGCCCGCCCAGGGTGGCGCTCGCCTCGGGACTCGGTCGGGGGCGGGCGACGAGTGCAGGCTGCACCACCAGCGTCCCTGCTGAATCCCTATCCCTGATCCAGACGACAGGTATCATTCCTCCTCCTCCTCCTCCTCCTCCTCCTCCAATTTCACCTCCTCCGTTCTCTCTCCCTCGTCCTCCTCCTCCTCCTTCTCCTCCTCCTCCTCTTCCTCTCTTTCCTCCCTCCTCCACCTCCTCCGCCTCCTCCTCCTCCTCTCCTTCTCCTCCTCCTCCTCCTCCTCCTCCTCCTCCTCCTCCTCCTCCTCCTCCTCCCCCCCAAATGCCCCCCTCCGCCCCTTCCTGTCCCCTCCCTCTTTGCATCTCTCCTGCCGTACCCTTTTGTGAGCCCCTCCTTCTCTTCTCCGCCTCCTCCTCC